GTGGGGACACCAGGACACGGGGACAGTGCGGGTGCTGGAGGTGGGATAGGGGACACGGGGACAGCAGGGACACCAGGACACAGGGGCAAACTGGGGACACTGGGGACACCAGGACACAGGGACAATCTGGGGTACCTGGGGACACTGGGGACATTGGGGACATCAGGGAGACCAGGACACAGGGACAGTGCGGGTGCTGGAGGTGGGGCAGGGGACACGGGGACATCGGGGACACCGCTAGGGACATTGGGGACACCAGGGCATGGGAACAGTCTGGGGGACACAGGGACAGTGGGGACATTGGGGACACCAGGACACGGGGAGAGTCTGGGTGCTGGGGGTGGGGCAGGGGACACGGGGACACTGCTGGGGACACTGGGGAGAACAGGACATGGAGACAAACGGGGGGACACGGGGACACCGGGGACACCCGGGGAGGGACACAGAGACAAACAGGGGGACACGGGGACACTGGGAGTGGCAGGGGCTGGGGGTGGCACCGGAGGGGGCTTGGGGACAGCGGGGCCACCAGAAGTGGGGACACACAGGGTGGGACACGGGGACAGGGACGTGGGGACGCTGGGGACACTGGGAGTGGCACAGGGGGACACTCGGGGTGCTGGGGGTGGGGACACAGGGACACCGGGGACACCAGGGCTGGGACACAGGGAGCCAAGGGGTGCTGGGGGTGGGGACACGGGGACAGCAGCAGGGACGGGGCACGGGGACGCAGGGACACCTGGGATGGCACGTGGGAACCTGCTGGGACGCGCTGGCCACGGCGTGGGCGCTGGCGCTGCTCTTCGGGCTGCCCCAGGTCGGCATCTTCGGGCAGCGCGAGGTGGCCCCGGGCGAGAGCGACTGCTGGGCCACCTTCGCGCAGCCCTGGGGCGCCCGCGCCTATGTCACCTGGGTGGCGCTGGCCGTGCTGGTGGCACCCGCCGTGCTGCTGGGGGTGCTGCTGGTGGCCGTGGCCCGCGCGCTCCGGGGGTCCCCCGGGGGTCCCGGGGGGCTCGGGCGGGCCCGGGCCAAGAGCCACCGCATGGCCGTGGTGGTGCTGGGCGTGTTCGTGCTCTGCTGGAGCCCCTTCTTCTGCGCACAGCTCTGGGCCGTGTGGGACCCCCGAGCGCCCCGGGAAGGTGAGGGGACAGGGGACACGGGGACATGGGGACAGGGGGACATGGGGACAGGGACATAGGGACAGGGACATGGGGACAGGGACACGGGGACAGGGACATGGGGACAGGGACATGGGGACAGGGGGACAGGGACATGGGGACAGGGACACGGGGACAGGGACATGGGGACACGGGGACAGGGACACGGGGACAGGGACACGGGGACAGGGGGACATGGAGATGGGGGTTGGGGACAAGGAGAAGGTGACAGGGACACAATGATGGGGACATGGGGACAGGGCCAGGGAGGTGACAGCTCCATGGGGAGGTGACAGCGCCATGGGGGTGACAGGACCAGGAAGGTGACAGCGTCAGGGGGAGGTGACAGCGCCATGGGGAGGTGACAGCGCCATGGGGAGGTGACAGCTCCATGGTGACACCGCCCAGCCAAGCGTGACCCACGCCGCGCTCCGGCTGGGGCTGGCTGTCACCGCAGTCCCCGTGCCGGGGTGTCCCCAGCTGTCCCCCCGTGTCCCCAGGGCCCGCGTTCACCATCCTGATGCTCCTGGCCAGCCTGACCAGCTGCACCAACCCCTGGATCTCGGCCGCCTTCAGCGCCAGCCTGGCCCGGGCCATGGCGCGGCTGCTGTGCCCCTGCCGCCGCCGCGGGGACACCGGGGACACCGGGGGACATCACTGACACCGGGGGACATCAGTGACATCACTGACACCGGGGGACATCACTGACACCGGGGGACATCAGTGACATCACTGACACCGGGGGACATCACTGACACCGGGGGACATCAGTGACATCACTGACAGTGACACCGGGCCATGGCGCGGCTGCTGTGCCCCTGCCGCCACCGCGGGGACACCGGGGGACATCAGTGACATCACTGACAGTGACACCGGGCCATGGCGTGGCTGCTGTGCCCCTGCCACCACCGCCGCGGGGACACCGGGGACACAGCGTGACAGGGAGATCGAGTGTCACACCGTGGGGGTGACACTGTGGGGGTCACAGGAGTGTCACACAGGAGTGTCACCCGGGGGTCACTCGGGTCCCTCAGTGTCACCCAGGGGTCACCTGGGGGTCACTCAGTGTCACCCGGGGGTCACTCAGTGTCCCTCAGTGTCACCCAGGGGTCACCCGGGGGTCACTCAGTGTCACTCTGGGGCCACTCGAGGTCACCCGGTGTCACCGTGGGGTCACACACAGTGGGGGAGGGGTCGCACGAAGATTTGAGCTCGGGGGGGCGGGGCTTGTGTGAGTGGGCGGGGCACCCCAAAATTCCCAGATGAGGGGACAAAAGGGGGGCGCCAACCCCCCCTGCTCTGTGGAAACCAGTCACCAATAAAGCAGAATTTTACCCCAAATTTCCTTTTTTTTTTACCCCAAAATTCCCAGATTTTTACCCCAAAATTTCCAAATTTTTATCCCAAAATTTTCCAGATTTTTACTCAAAACTTCCAGATTTTCACCCCAAATTTTCTAAATTTCTACCCCAAAATTTCCAGACTTTCACCCCAAATTTTCTAAATTTCTACCCCAAAATCTCCAGATTTTCACCCCAAGTTTTCTAAATTTCTACCCCAACATTCCCAGATTTTTACCCCAACATTTCCAAATTTTCACCCCAAATTTTCCAGATTTTTACCCCAAAATTTCCAGACTTTTACCCAAAACGTCCAAACTTTTATCCTCAAATTTCCAGGGTTTCATCCCAAAGTTTCCAGATTTTTACCCCCAAATTTCCAAATTTTCACCCCAACATTTCCAGCCCCCCCTGGCACCTTTGGGGTCCCAGCCCCTCACTTTGGGGGGGTCCCAGCCCCCCCCCAGGGCACTTTTGGGGCACCGCCCCCGTTTTGGGGTCCCTCCCCCCCCAGGGCAGGACCCCGAACTCCGCCGGCTCCGGAACCACCCCGAGCTTTATTTGGGGACACTTTGGGGTCCCCCAGGATGTTTTGGGGTCCCCCCGGGTGTTTTCGGGGTCTCTGTGGGTTTTGGGGTCTCCCGAGATGTTTTTGGGGTCCCCCCAGGATGTTTTGGGGTCCCCCTGGGTGTTTTTTGGGTCCCTGTGGGTTTGGAGTCTCTGTGCCTTTTGGGGTCCCCCCCGGGAATTTTTGGGGCCCCTGTGTGGGTTTTGGGGTCCCTCCGGGTGTTTTTGGGGTCCCCCCAGGATGTTTTTTGGGTCCCTCTGGGTCTTTTTGGGGTCCCTGTGGGTTTGGGGTCTCTGTGCGTTTTGGGGTCCCCCCCGGGGAATGTTTGGGGCCCCTGTGTGGGTTTTGGGGTCCCCCAGGGTTTTTGGGGTCCCTCCAGGATGTTTTGGGGTCCCCCCGGGTATTTTTGGGGTCCCTGTGGGTTTGGGGGTCTCTGTGCGCTTTGGGGTGCCGGGTATTTTTTGGGGTCCCCTGGGCGGGGTTTTGGGGTCCCCCCAGGATGTTTTGGGGTCCCCCAGGGTTTTTGGGTCCCTCCAGGATGTTTTGGGGTCCCCTGGGTGTTTTTGGGGTCACCCCGGGGGTCTCCGGGGCACGCAGCCCCCCAGCTCCAGCGCCTCCGGCCACCCCTCGTATTTGTTGGAGCCGCGGCTGTTCCGGACGTGCTGGGGGGAATTGGGGGGATTTGGGGGGATTTGGGGGGGATTTGGGGGGGATTTGGGGAATTTTGGGGGATTTTTTGGGGGATTTTCTTGCAATTTTTGGGGTTTGGGATTTCGGGGAATTTTGGGATTTTTGGGAATTTTCAGGCTTTTGGGGATTTTTTTGGGACTTTTTTTATTTAGGGGTTTTTGGAAATTTTGGGGGGATTTTTTGCAATTTTGGAATTTTAGGAATTTTTGGGGGTTTTGGGATTTTTTTCGGGATTTGGGAATTTTCAGGGTTTTGGGGATTTTTGTACTTTGGGGTTTTTAGATATTTTGGGAATTTTGGGGATTTTTGGGGTTTTTTGGGATTTTTGGGGATATTTTTCTATTTTGGAAATTTTGGGGATTTTTGGCAGTTTTTGGGAAATTTGGGGATTCCTTGTGTTTTTTTGGGGTTTTTTAAGATTTTGGGATTTTTGACAAACTGTGGGATTTTGGAGAATTTTGGCAATTTTGGAGCTCTGGGGCCGCTCGAGGTCACCCGGTGTCGCCGGGGGGTCACACACAGTGGGGGAGGGGTCGCACGAAGATTTGAGCTCGGGGGGGCGGGGCTTGTGTGAGTGGGCGGGGCTTGCACGAGGGGACACCAGAGGGGACAAAAGGGGGGGGCCAACCCCCCCTGCTCTGTGGAAACCAGTCACCAATAAAGCAGAATTTTACCCCAAATTTCCTTTTTTTTTTTACCCCAAAATTCCCAGATTTTTACCCCACAATTTCCAAATTTTTATCCCAAAATTTTCCAGATTTTTACTCAAAACTTCCAGATTTTCACCCCAAATTTTCTAAATTTCTACCCCAAAATTTCCAGACTTTCACCCCAAATTTTCTAAATTTCTACCCCAAAATCTCCAGATTTTCACCCCAAGTTTTCTAAATTTCTACCCCAACATTCCCAGATTTTTACCCCAACATTTCCAAATTTTCACCCCAAATTTTCCAGATTTTTACCCCAAAATTTCCAGACTTTTACCCAAAACGTCCAAACTTTTATCCTCAAATTTCCAGGGTTTCATCCCAAAGTTTCCAGATTTTTACCCCCAAATTTCCAAATTTTCACCCCAACATTTCCAGCCCCCCCTGGCACCTTTGGGGTCCCAGCCCCTCACTTTGGGGGGGTCCCAGCCCCCCCCCAGGGCACTTTTGGGGCACCGCCCCCGTTTTGGGGTCCCTCCCCCCCCAGGGCAGGACCCCGAACTCCGCCGGCTCCGGAACCACCCCGAGCTTTATTTGGGGACACTTTGGGGTCCCCCAGGATGTTTTGGGGTCCCCCCGGGTGTTTTCGGGGTCTCTGTGGGTTTTGGGGTCTCCCGAGATTGAAAATCCCCTAAAAATGCCCCAAATTCCCCAAAATGCCCCAAATCTGCCCGAATTTCGCACCTGCTCGAAGGGGCTCCTGTCCTGCACCCCCTTGGCCCCCAGGAACACCCAGCTGTCCCTGAACCCCAAATCCTTGGCCACGGCGCTGCCCAGCTCCCCGAAAATGCGGCGGCTCTCCTCGGTCAGCCTGGGGGGACGGGGACCCCAAAAGTCACAGCGGGCACCCCAAAAACATATCAGAAACACCCCAAAAAAATCACAGCAGGCACCCCAAAAACACCCCAAAAATCACCCCAAAAATCACAAAGCACCCCAAAAAATCACAGCAGGAACCCCAAAAACATCCCAAAAAAATCACAGCGGGCACCCCAAAAACACCCCAAAAAAATCACACAAAGCACCCCAAAAAATCACAGCAGGCACCCCAAAAACACCCCAAATAAAAAGAAACCACACAAAGCACCCCAAAAAGATTCCAAAAAAATCACAGCAGGAGCCCCAAAAATCACAGTAGGCACCCCAA